TCCTTCATGCAGAAAAAGACCTAGGGGATATAATGGATCACAAGCTGATTAGGAGTCAACAGTGTCAAGCCATTGTGAAAAAGGCAAACACTGCACTAAGCTGTGCAAACAGGAGTATGGCTGCAAGACGTGCGGTAATCCTGCTCTGCTCAGCACTGCCGTAGCCCAGCAGGAGCTCTGGGTGTCCTCTGCTGAGATGTGAAGTACCCAGAGTCCAGAAGAGAGATGAGAATGATCAGAGCTAAAACACCACCAGCAAGGAAAGCCCAAAGGAATCAGATGCACGTAACCTGCAGAAGAGGACGGGGGAATGTAACTGATTTGCAAACATGAAAACTGTGGCTGCAGACACGCTTGTTTCCTGCGTGTGGGTTAGAGGAAGAGCAGTCGGTTTGGGATGGAGTTTGCAAGCCCTAGCAGGCAAAGGAGGGGTTAACAGAGGCATTAGTGAGAGCAGCTGAGAAGGCACACAGCTGCAGGGGATAAAAACACTCAGGAGAGGGCTATCAGAAGACCCTTAAGGAGGGAGGGGGTTGCTAGTCCTTAGGAGATGAGGGGCAGATTCTGGGGGATGTTTGGCTGTGTCTTAGCGGTAAGTTGGTTTAAGGCATTCTAGCCCTAGCTCTGGCAGGTTACTGGTCTCCTTGTTTGTGTTGGTTGCATGTGTTTGGTTAGGCATTAGGTATACTTTTTAGGCCTTCAAAAAGGTAGGGTAGGGTGCTAAGGGTTTTACTTAAAACAAGCAAAAAAAATTTTTTTTTACGTTGTTTTTGTATCTGGTCTAAAATGTTGAAGTGCTGAATCCATTAAGGAAGGAGAAATGGAGGATTTTATTTTATTTTATTTTTTTTTAAGGAAAAAAAACAGTTAAGTTCCAGCTACTAATAGAGGGCTTAAACAGAGGAACAGTGTAGGAATTGTGGTCTTTGTTCAGCGGATAGGGTTGGTCAGCAAGAAGTTGTGTACAATAAAAGGGAAATTATTAGGTAATAAAATCTAAATCTGAGAGCTAACAGGTGCCAGGATCTCTGCTAGGTGGAAAAGCTGTTAACCCCCGTGGCTGTAGGGGACTTAAATATCACAGCAAGACTTAAGGTCAATATTAAGAAACTCAAAGGGTGAAGGTAGTAAGGACTGGAAGATGTCGTCTGAAGATGTTGAGGCATCTCTGTTATTGGAGTGAGACCTTTGAGAACAGGATAGCATCAGTCAGCAATGACAAAGGTGATCTCATCTCAGGACAGCAGTAATACCACAATCAGCTTCTGAAGTCCCTGCTCTGCTCCACAGCACTCTAAACAAGAATACTGCATCTCCTTCCTTGCCATTTGGTTGTGATGCTCTATGAAAGCAACTGAGCGTTTTTGGAACCTCAAAGCATTTTTTGAATAGAAGTGATTTCAGAACTATCTCTAAGCTGATCATTTTACCTGCTTCATTGAATGGTGCTTTCAACATGGTGTGTTCTGGCAATATCAGCATTGAATCTTGTAAATTCAGAGACAAATGTGACAAAAGCTCTGTACTCATTCATTCTTGCCTTTGTAATGAAGATGCAGTGAAACCAAGCTGCCCACTGCTCAGCAATGTCGAATGGATTGATTTGTAAAGATACTATTTTAAACCCTGAGTTAGCTTGATCTTTTGGGGAGTAAAGTCAAGTGTGATTTGTGCTTACAATGTGGTACGTCTAAACTGTCCATACTGTTGTTAGTCTGTGTCCTCTTGAGATGAGAACTGAATGTAGAGAGAACAAAATAACTTTCTAGATATTATGCCTTTCCACCAAGACAAGGAAAAAACTTACTTGCCAGCTAAGTTGTCCAGAACTGTAAACTTCTAGTAATGATCCTAATGAAGCTTTCAGAAATAAAAGCTGAAAGGTAGTCTGATGAAAAATGCCTTTGATTCTGTAATGCTTCTAGCTGTAATAACTGCTCGTGTGCTGTTCTCCACTACTGTGAAAATCCTGAAAGCAAAGCAATTGAAAGTACAACTAAGCTCAAAGCATCTGTGCTTGCTTCCAAGCAAGTTTGTCATGGCAGCTCTAGGAGAGCACTTTTCATTCTGACTCAGATGAAAAAGGAATAGACACCGGAACAATGGACTGCTGTTTTGAAAATGGTTTTAAGTGAGAGTACAAAAATTCCATTTAAAATCCAGTAGATAAAGGCTTGCACAGTGAAGTTGGATGCCTAGGTTGGAGTGAAGTCCCACTGAATGGTTTTTGCGTGTTTGTGGACCCTTAAAACTCTGTCCAGAATGAAAATCACATTTGAAATAAATATTTAGTTATCTTCTGTGGTCAGTTACAGAACATAACTTAGAAACCGCTTCTGGTGGTTTCAATTGGTTCTCTTTCCTTGGGGGAAGGAAGCGAGGGGTTCTCTGTGCCTTGTAGGCTGTTTCATATAATGAGGCATTGGTCTGACTGGAACTTCTGTGTGGTTCAGTGTCAGTAAAGCAATACTCTACTAACTTTCTTAGATAAAGCAAAGCATGCAGGCGACACGGATGTGCTGGCAGTTCTCGTCGCCAGAAAAAGAAACGATTGCATTTAGCGATGCTGTTCGCAGAGAGATTAAACCCAGGCTGGATGGAGAGAAGCTGTGCAGATAATTCGAAATTGATTCCTGGGGTGAATTACCGCTTGGCTGCCTTCCTCACCTCCTCAGTTCTCAGCCTGGTGTGCCAGCAAGCATTTTAAGATAACTCTGCTCCGTTTGCTTCTTGAATTGTCTGGCTGTGTAACAGGCGCTCCAGATAAACATGGATAATCTTGGGATTTTGCTTGACAAGGATTGCTTTGTGTGAATTTTTAATGATTCTGAATAGGTTGTTGTGCAGGGCCTCGTCCTGCAATCCCTTTTAGTTGTGAGCGCTTTCAAGGAAGCGAGTGGTTGCACAACGACAGCTCCACTAAGCAAATGATTGATCATAACATCACTGCCAGTGAAAACGCATCTATTATAAGGCGGTTAGGAAATAATAACAAGGATAGCGCTGAGCAGGGGCGTCTAAAAGCATGGGATGTGCTAATTGGAACAAATACGAGGGAACGCGTGGGGAAACTGTGGGCACGCTTATTTATAGGTGCCTCTGCAGGGCTGGGCCGAAGAATCCCGAGCAAGAGGGACGGAGTCGAGCACAACCGGCGGGCAGCAACGATGTGCGGCTTCCGAACGACAGAGCGGCCGCTGCACCGCCCCGCCACGGCGCTTCCGGCCTCTGCGCAACCGCCTCTCCGCGCGCGCGCCGCGAAGGAGGAGGCGGCGGGAGAGGAGGGGGGAGAGCACGCGCCGCTGCTGCGAGCGGGAAGGGCGCGATGGAGCGGGGCGGGCCGGATGCGCCGTCCTGAGGCGGGCGGCGGCGCTCCGAGGCGGTTCCTGAAGAGAAAAGGGCCGCCTGAGGGGCGGAGGCGGCCATGGCGGAGGCGGAGAGGGCCGCTGGGAGCCCCCTCGGCTCCGTGCAGGTGGTACGTGCGTGTGTGCGTTTGAGGGAGGCGGGGCGGGCTTTGGGCGGGAGCGGAGCGCAGAGGAGCGGCGTGCCGGGTTGTTCTGGGGGTGCTGCGTGGGCAGCTTTTTGTATTTTTTTTTCTTTCCATTTGGGTGTGTGGTTGTGTGGACTTTGAACTTTTTTTTTTTTTTTAATTTATTCGGTTTTTTTTTTCTTTTCTACAAGTCATAGAACTGCTCTGCTTGGATGGAGCCTTAAAGACCATCCGGTTCCACCTCCTGCCACGGGCTGCCCACAGCCCATCCCTGTCCTCAGGCACCTGCAGGGATGGGACACCACCACCTCCGGATTAAGGATGTCCTCCTCACATCTGACCTAAATCTCCCCTTTCGTACTTTAAAGCCATTCCCCCTTGTCCTATGGCTGTCCATTCTGTAAAAAGTTGATTCATTCCTTCTTACTGGTTTCCACCACGTACTGGAAGGCTGCTGAGCTTTCTCCAGGCTGAACAAACCCTTTATAATGTCTACCCGTGCCCAAATTTATTTATGTACCACTGGTATGGTTTGGCAGCAGTTTATATTTATGTTTGTATTTAGTGAAGCAAACATTCTTGTACTGCAAAGTAAAACAGCACAGGTTGTTAGGTGGAATTGGGAGCTTCATAGAAACTCAGGTCCTGTGGCAGGTGTTCTGGAAATCTTCCTGGGTTCAGTACAACTGGTGAGATGTAACAGAACTGGCACGTTTCTGCCAGCAATCTCAAGTTCTTAGATGGTTCAGAACGATTGATTCACAAGCTTTGTTTAAGGGTAGCAGTTTCTGACTTCTGTAGAATCTTCAGTGGCGTTTAAATGATTATTTGAATTTATTTTCACATTCAGATACAGAAGGTTGGAGCCAGCGTGAACTGAGATTTGCTGAAACTGAAAATAGCATTTCACTTTGGTGTTATTTATTGTCCTCACTAGAAAAGGATGGTGGTAATGCCAGAAATAAGAGATTTCTGGGGCACAAAACATTCCATTGCTTGATATCTGACACTTATTATTATTATTTTAAACGCACATTTCTCCACTTCAGTCTTGCAGTTGAGGTATTGTTTTTCTGCAGTGTAGCTGAGAGTGGAAAGAAGGATGTTCTTGTTGAATAATACGTTTGTAGAAGGAAGCGGATTGAACTATCCATTAGTCATTTTGCATTGCCATTTTTACCATAGATCAAAACTTATTTAGCAGAGGAGCCAAGAATCATCATCTTCAGCTTAGTCAGGGCAAAACTACTATGCTAAATAGCTGAAATAGCTTCAGGCCTCATTTTAGAGCTGCTGATGTCCAGGGCAAATCTGAAGTGTCACAATGCTCAAATCCAGATCTGGTTCATCATTCTGTATTTTAGTTGTACTGAATCATAGAATCACCAAGGTTGGAAAAGACCTAAAAGCTCATCCAGTCCAACCATTCACCTATTACCAATAGCTCCCACTAAACCATGTGCCTCAACACAACATCCAGTCTTTCCTTGAACACCCCCAGGCTCGGTGACTCCACCACCTTCCTGGGCATCCATTCCAGTGCCTGACCACCCTTTCCGAAAAGTAATACTTCCTCATGTCCAGAATCTATAGGCCATGAAAGGCTTCTCTGTTGGATTTTGCTATAAATCAGTCTCAGGTAACAGAAAATTCTGGCTCAGCTGATCTTGTTATGAGATCTTGTTATGCTGATAGAATGATAGCTGATCTTGTGTACACGAGTTATTTGCAAGTTATGTCCTTGTGGTGGCTTAAAATTATTTGGAAGTGCATTATGTGTATTTCTAGTTCTCTGTCATCATGGTAGTTTTCAAATATAGAAATGGCTGCTGCAAAGAGAACTTGAGTAATAACTTGGGCTGTGAGTGGGAAGTTAAAGAAAACTGCAGAATAGGAGTTAAGAGGTTGGGAAAACTGCTCCAGATCTCCATGATGCCAGCTGCCAGAGATTGCTCAGCAAAGCAATGACAGACACTGCAGACAGTGATACATCAAGAGCGGCAGAGCTGGGGTTGACCTCATCTTGGGACAGAGCAACTAGACAGGATCTCACGAGGTTACTATCAGGCTTTTTTGTACTAATCTGCACTTGTCAGTGAAATGTAGTGTCTTAGTTGAGGTTTATTCCTTTTTAAATAAGCCAACGAGATTGGTGTGTTCTGGCCACACAGTGGTAGAGGCCAGCTTATGGATACTCAGCTCAGAGTAGGTGCCAGCTGCAACTTTTAAAGCAGGCTGCAAGTGTAGAAGTAAACTGGAGAGAAATGAAGGTTTCTGTCTGTGGTGTTTTCAGTTTTTCTTTGACTTAAAACCAACAAAAGAACATAAATGCAGAGAAGCAATGTACTGATAATGAATGATAGAACCCAAGGAATTGCTTTGATGTGCAGTGTTAGCAATTCTCTGGTAATTGAAGCATATTGCTGTGTACAGTTATTAGGTTTTTTTTTTCCATGTTTTACGTGGAGGAATCAGCAGCAGATCTGCAGTTTTGACAAGCATCTGGCTTCTTGTAATGGCAGTTGTGAAAGTAGAACTGGCTCACAGTGATGTGCTCAGGAACGTGCTGGAATGTTCTGAGGTGCTGTGCTGAGATCAGAGCATCTTGGTGAATCAGGTCAGTTCAGGCTAAGCAGAAAACTTCTAACGTGATAAATCCACTGCTAAATCTAACTGCTGATTTCCCCTGAGTAAAACCAGGAGCTCACCATGAACAAAAGCTTATAAATAAGTTGCATTTTTACTGTGTTCGGGTCAACATCAATCTAATTGTGGTGGCATGCTCATATTTTTACTGAGTTAATTAGGAAAAAAAAAATATTAATTATTCTTGATGTCCAAAACTGCATTGGGGGAAAAAAAAAAAAAAAGGGGGAATACTTTTCTTTCTGAATGAATAAGGTAGGATGATTAACATTAACATTTAGGGACTTATTCTAATTGCCATCTAGATATAAGGAATATTGAAATCCTGAGTACTTCAAATATCTTGGTTTAGAACCTCAGACCTGTTTATTTTTTGAAGTCTTGATATAATAATCTCAGACAGCTCTGAAATGATTTTTTTTCTCCAGATGTTGTCATTGTTCTGTATTCCATTTTACTTATTTCTTTAACTTCTTTTACTTGTTTATCTCTTTACAACAGAAGTCAAAGAATTTGTTTGCTTAAACACTTAAGGTAGCTTTCCCTCTACTTAAACCCCCTTTTTCCTGTTATAGCATCCTGCCAAAATCAGGTTTTAAACTGCTACAGGTTTACTTCATTTTGCTGTGAAGTTCTATGGGTTTTTTCATTAATCGTTGTACTAGGTAATATATGGATACCTGAATGTACCTACATCCTAACCTGTGAATACAAAGAAACAAAAACCCAATGAAACAACACTTGCACGAAATGTATCTGCCTAGTGATACATGTGCATGTGTTGTCACAATGTACGTGTATCTGTGGGTAGGGGAAATCTTTCTCAAGTGTCCATTTAGGTACTCTTGCAGTTTTCTTTTTTGAGATTTTCATGTGCTCCAATAGGAACTAATCCTCTCTTCCTTCCAGCTTTGCATTTATGGTTATGCACCGCATGATAAGGGGTTTGAGTTCTGTTTCTAGGAACTTCTCAAAATGTCCCATGAGACTTCTTACAAGGTACTTATGCCCTGTGCCCTAAGTTCCCCATCTATTATAAGCTGCCTCAACAGGTTACTGGTTTGGACTCTCCCTTTACAAACATAGCTGGTGTATTAATGCTGAGATTAATTTCTTAGGACTTGCATGCTGTGAATGTAAGATGTTGTATTTTGAAGTATAGAAACACTTGAGGTTCAGGGTAAGAATAATGATGGGTACCGTGACAGAGGAATCCTCATCTATGGTTGCTAACCAATTTTAAAGTATTTCAGGTAGGTTTTCACATCTTGTGAATATGTGGCTGAAACAACAGAGGCTGTAAGAGAAAAAGCTGTGGGTGAAATGGTAACTCAGGAAGTAGGTCATAAGTCATCTTCTGGTGTGTTTGATAACAGTTTTAGATAGAGTCATTTAAAAAACCTTGGCTAGAGCCCAAGGATACAGGCTGCATGTGTAAGCATCACCAATTGTGCAGTAAGTGTAACAAAAAATTGGTGAGTAAAGTATATTCATGGGAGACAGAACTAAAGAGTGTTTTATGAAATGCAAGGAGGCTAGAAACAAACTAGTGTGGTGTTATAGGTGTTTTGTTAGCATTTTTGGTTGAGTGGTCTCTATTGCTTCTTTGGAGATTTACTAAAGCCATCTTGTAGAACTCAAAAAATGTGAAGTTTGACAGACATGAAAGTAAAACATTCATTTATAATGAAAACAAAGGTACCTAGCCTACTTCTTCATTCTTAAGATGCACTTAGTTTTACAGAGATCTAGCACTTCCCCTTTTTTAATGAATGTTCTTGTGCTGGAAGTAGATGGAAAAAAGTAGTTCTTACTAACATTTTGTGTTGTCTTTTTTGTAGTCAGTCGTCCTGCCTGTTCACAACAGCCAGCATTGGCTAGATGAATGCTTAAAATCAGTTTGGGAGCAGGATTTTAAACAAACCATGGAGCTGTCAGTTTTTAATGATGCCAGTAAGGTATGTCTCAGACCCTATTGAAAATACTGACCAAATCAGCACTGTCTGTGATGGTGATTTTTACTTTGGATTGTGGTTGGGTTACCACACGTGTTAGAATAGCTGCATCTGTGTCATCTTGTTTTTATAGGATGGTTCAGCTGAAATCATCGCGAAATGGAAGGTCAAGTTGGAAGGTGCTGGTATTCCAGTAGTTGTTGGTAGTAATGATTCAGCAGCGCCTCGAGGAGGTATGTAATATAGCAGTGGGGTTTTTTTAATGATTTTTTTTAATAGTTACGGTAGACATCTGGTTTTTACTTTGAAAAGTATCTTAGTAGCACACTTGAATTGTGATGGGGGGAAAAAACCACCACATTTCTTTTCAAATTTCCATGTTCAAAAGCTCATTCTAATTTAGAATTTGGCCCCATTGTTTTTGGCTTTGTAGGCTTTGTTTATATGTCCAGGAAAGAAGAACTTGGCTTGATACTTCTGCTCTACTCAGCAAAAGAATTTTGTTTAATTGTAGTGTACACAATGTTGTTAATGCTTACAGTTTTACTGTGGCTTTCTGATATCTGATTTATCTTCAAAGGATGTGTTTTAAGGAAAAAAAGACAGACAAGATTTCTTAAACAACCGTTTAAAAAGTAAATATTCTTCAGGATTGTAGAACTGACCCTAAAAATGTGAAATAAAGGACCCTAAGGGCAAAACTGTGTGAATTTTCTTTTTGAATCTCAATTCTGATTCCTGAGCTTGAACAATTTTCCCCTTTTCTAAGTTCTACACCCATCATTACAAGCAAGGCAATTTAATTTCAAGTTATAGGTTTCTTTCCTTTATTCATGGCTGCTATGTTACCTAACGTGAAGACTGCAGGTTTCTTACTGTTACCATTGCAAAACTGCTGATTTAAAACAGGGTTAAATTCAAGCCAATTCTGGAGTTCTGCAGTCGGCCTGTAAATAGCCATCAAGTTGAATTTTAAAGTACTTTGTTGTAGGATGAATGTACAGATGGTGGGATATGAACTGTAAAACTTCTGTATTTCTGATTTTAAGTCTCGCTCTTTTTGCTAGAATTGGAAGATAAGGCAGCAGTTGCTTTAACTGAAGAGGCAGAGGGTGGCTGGTGGGATAGAAAGCTAAGTAGGCTGTGATTTTTTTTTTCAGCAGCAAAGTCAAAGAATAATACAGAAGGCTGTTAATTATGGTACTTTGGAAAGCTGCTAGCAGTGCTTTTTATACATATATATATATATAATATTTTTTAATATATATTTGGTTATATATGTTCAATTTCAACAAAGCATTTCCTATATATAGTCTTGTTCCAAATGAACTGTTTTATTACTATGTGTGTAAACTAGTTTTCAGTTTGCAAGGCATGATATTTTGACAATAATTTATGGTAATACTCTGAAGTCAGTTCACCTTTGCACTCTAGAGAACTGAAACTAAGCTGGAGCTGTGAACTACAATGATTATCTCGTGCCACTAAACAGAGATGTCAGATTAATTGTCATTTTAACATGTATTTGCCAGTGTTAGCACAGCCAAAACCTGACCAAATCTATAAGAAATGGTTGGGTGGGGGCAGGGCACAGCTGTGAGCATTGTTTTAAATAATAGTATGAAATGCTTTTTTTTTCTTTAAAAAAAAAAAAAAAAAGAGAAAACAGCCAAGCTTATTCATGTGGAAGTCAACCTCAGGTCACCATGAGAATGAGGACATCTTTTCTTCTTGGTTGTTACATTTTAGGAGCAGGTTACTTGAAATCCATAGTATTTGTTTGCTTTCAGTGATTTACTTTTATTATGTTAAGGACTAGTTACAACTGTAAGGAGTCTTTCCTTTAATAGAAGATGCTTTACTACAGAAACAATGTACTAGTCAGGCTTCACATCTTCAACTATTTACACAAGATTAGGATTTATTTCTGATTCTTTTCGAACATGTAAAAGAAAAGGGGGGACCTAGGGAAAAAGAAAGGGTCACTTGCCTAAAAAAAGGAGACCTTTTTCTTTCCAAGAGTAAGGAATGTTAATATCTCACTGAGGCTTAAGTTTTTACGGTTGTAACCATGGTAACAGGCTCTTTTCACCAAGTAAGCAGGCCTTACAAAACTCAGAGACCTGGCACAAACATTTGATTTTCTTCAGTAGAGTAATATTAAGGAAATTCTTTCACTCGTGCCAAACATAGGGTTCATTGTGGAGCAAACTTTTTAATATCTAGTTTCTTCTACAGGGAGCTATGCTGCTCGTTTCAAGAATTTTTAAAATATGCATGTTTTTCTCTCCCTCCCTTCAAAGTTACTGTCCAGCATAAGAAAAGCTTCAGGGCGACTTCTGTCTTCATCTTAATAAATATTTTTCAACTTTTTTCTCATAAAGTATATTTAATATTTCATTACCTTATTTGAAAACAAGATGTGAGGTATTTCAAAAGTTCTCACAGTAATACAGTTGTCATCTTGTAGTTGTCTTTGAGTCTGCTTCACTTGTTTCATTACTGATTCACAGCAATTCATTAGTTTATCCCAAAGACAGCTGAAATATTGGGGCATTTTGAAATGCAGATAGAAATGTAAATACAGGCTGTTTTACAGCTGGTCATGGCATATCTGAACATTGACTGACATCGAGCAAATTTAGTTATATCCTGTACTTTTTCTTTATAAGGTCCTATGCAGTAGTGGGCTTTCTCTTGCTTGGCATGTTCAGGCCTGCTAAAACTGCTTCCTGCTAAAACTGCTGGTGCCAGGCTCAGCTCTGTGTTGTGCTAGGTGCTGACTTTGCCAGCTGCCTTTTCTTACTGCCAAAAGAAAAGAGAATGAGAGTAACTGTAGATGAGTGTGAAGTATTCATACATGTATGAAAGTCGATTCTAAGTACGCTGTAAGATAATGCAAGAAACCTGTGGAGAACTTAAAGTGACTCATAGGCTCTCCACTAATCAGAGTACTTCAGAATCAAACAATTACAAGGAAGAGCCTTTATCGCTACGGCTGTGCTGGCAGTTGATAGAATGCTCCTTTGAAGCAGTAAGCAATGCAGTAATAAGTCTTTTTCTTGGGTAACTCAGCAGAATAGCCAAGGAGCTTGTGAATTAAATTAATTGAGCCTTTGAGCCCAGCTAAATTTGTTCCCTGAGTACATTTGAAGCTGTATCATCTAATTTACAGAAGATTGATTCTTTTTCACATGCAAAATCGGGCATTTTAGATATGATAATGTTTAAAATTACCCCACTCTGAGTAATGGTGAGACTTCCTAGCTTTATCTTTCTAGTTTTCCCATTAAAGAATTAAAAACCCCCACATCCTCAGCAGTATTACGTGTCCTCAAGGTTTTGTATTTGCAACATGGAACAGAACTTTGTCTTTTATTTGTTGTGATCGGATTTAAATACATGTATATCTGGGCATCTTTTTCAGCATCTGAAGTGCTGGGTATGAGATCTGGGCAGCTGGACTCATCAAGACAAATATTATGTATTGTGTATTTTGGGACGGGTGGTAAAAGTCTAATTCTGCTTAGTGGTAGAATTCTAACACAGTTGATAACCACACAGAGAGCAATACTGAAATGAGTGTGTATGTAGCTATTTAAAAGTTACCTGGTTTTAATATGGGAAAAAAATCATTTTTCCTAATACTGATTTTTTTTTTTGTCTATTTAATCTGTACTGAGCTGCAGTAATTAAAAAAAAAAATATTCAAAACCTACCACATAATTTTATATTTATTTTCTCAACAGTTGGATTTGCTAAAAATCAAGCAATAATGCAGAGCTCAGGAACCTATCTCTGCTTTCTGGATTCAGTAAGTTAATGGATTTTATTAAATTCAATTTTGTCAATAAGATTCTTTTGTTCTTTTTAGTGTGGTGGCTGATTTGCCATAAATACAAGCTCTTTAAAGGTGTTTGGGTGTTAAAAATATTTATAGACCTACAGTTGTCTTCCAAACTGCAGAAGGCCCACAACCTTGTATCACTGTTTGATTCTATGGGATTTCACAAGAAGTTATGAGCAGAGTTGTGCAAAGTTGTTCAGGTGTTTTTAAGATTTTTTTTTTTCTTTCCCACATGCTTTAGAAAGTGGTATAGATGAGAAACTAAGAGCTGATCTGCTGGGTTTTGATGCAAAATTGGAGATGCCTTGCCTCCCTTCTTGAATATATTATTTTTCCCGTCCTTTGTTGGGCTCCTTCAGTGAACCCATTCAGCTCACTCACCTGCAGATAACTATCTGACTTTATGCAGTATGATATGCAGTGAAGGGTTTCACCAATATGCATAGCTGGTCTGAGGAATGGTGCCACGTGGCTGGGATCAGGCAAGAAGAGCAAGACCTTTAAGGCTCACTGATCTCATGTAATTTCACCTGAAGATTAATTCTTTCCTCTGATTGACTGGTTTAGGAGGAAATGATTGCTGGAAGTGTAGGTTTTCAGATAGACTACAAGTTAACATTATGATTGGCTTTGCCTGTTAGAAAGTGTCATGATCTTTTTCATGAGAGCAGGGATGCAAATTCTACAGCCTTATAACCACACAGGTTTTAATTTGGGTACTCTTTCAGTTTATGGGCTCTGTTTGTTGTACCAGCTGGGTAGAAAGGCTTTTCTGATAGTTGCAATTTTGTGAATTAATCGCTGCAAGATATGGCTAATCACTGGAGCATTTTTTTTGAATCAAGACAATGTGGCAGAAGTTTCTTGTCTTGTTTTCTAAGAAATTAACCTTTGCTGTTGGTTTTTCTCACCTGTATTTTTTCTTTTCTTAAACTATTACTATGTTTATCCACTCAGTTTTCTTTTTTGAAAGTGTTTATTTGAATGTATCCTGGCTTCTCAGTAGTTTTTTACAGGGCATATTTAATGTTTGTATACAAGTTTATGATGAATTAAGCTTTGAAATGAAATAAGCTTTGAAACTGATACATATTGTTATGTCAGAAAACAAAAACTGAACGTTTCTTGAACATGTGGAACTCAAAATCACCTACAGAAATCTGTGGGTGTTGGATAGGTCAGGCTCCTGTGCATCAAAGAGATGTTTATGCAGCACTCACCTTCGTGCTGCCGTGTATTTTTCTACTTGCTGACTAGCTGTGCAGACAAGGATCTATTACATCTATTATGAAATCCAATCAGCAATGGTTTTGAGTTTCTGCAAGATTATTATTAGTATGTTTCTGATAATTAGGACTTTGTCAAAGTGATTTGATTGAGAATTTTATGAATTCCAGTATGCATAAGCTTGGAGGAAGGCAGCAAGCCTTTGTGTTACACGTTTCTGTAGCTGCTTTGAGCTAGAGGCCTCAAAATAAAAGACATTCTGAACGACCAGAACCCTGATTTTGATACAAAGAAATAATAAACAAGTGACTTCAGTGTTTTTCGTACTGTCTTTCCTTGTGGCTACCATTGTTTGCTGAAAACAGGTCAGAGGAAATAAAATTCATGTGGAAACTGCTACGAGTCTGAAAATTGCTCAATATTTTGACCATAGTCAGAAAATGTTGTGATCATAGCCCAAACACAGATGTTGCCAGCTGTTTAATAGCTCTGCTTCTACACGCCACCTACCTTCTTCATTTCAGTTACCAACCCAGTGTCAGGCTCCATAGGAAGGAATGCTGACATCAGCCGTGTGGAACGCGCTGCAGTGATGCCAAAGAATTGACCTTCAGATGCAGCAATAATTGCAGGCTTGCTGTAGGTGGACGTGGAAAGAAATGGGCTGTATCAATAGTCTGCATGCATTTCATATAGTTGAATTAAAATACTGTGTCTCCTTGTGCATTCATTTCACTTATGCATCTTTGAGAGTTCTGGCTCCAGGGAGACTGTCTCGCTTGCCATTCCAGCTGGAGTCAAGCTGCTTGTGTTATGTCTCTCAACACAGATCTGTGAGGACAACAAATTGGGAAGAAATGTGGGGGAAAAAAAGGTTACAGAGCTCAGAACTGTCAGAATTTGATCAGCCTATTCTAGTATGAAGTGGCAGCTGTTTGACTAATAGCTATTATGGAGTTTCGTTGCTGTAGCTGTTGTTACAGATTTCACTTCTAAACTACTGAGGCCTTTTTCCCACCAGTGAATTAGAAAATGTGAAGATACTTAACAAACTGTTCTTATTGTAGTCTCAGAAAATCTTGGTCGTGATGACAATAGAATTCACTAATTATGCTAACACGTTTCACAGTTACTTTTTCTCCTCTTCAAATTATCTGTGGCTTCTTTATCTACCAGTTGCGTTTTATCCTGGTATTAGTTTGTCAGCTCTCTGTAGTGGTTGCCATCTTTGCTATAAACATTCAGTCTGTTTTAGCACAGCAGGAGGGTTATACTAAAAATTCCTTGATTTGAATCTCTGTGTTCATTGACACTCAAACACTGCCTATAAAAACGTGTTTATTTAAAAAGAACGCACATTGGATCCTAAGAAACGTTCAGTCTTCCCAATATTTCAGGTTTATTCACTGTTGGAGGATTCTTGACTGTTTAAGAAGAAATTTGAGCGTGTCTTTTTATTTGACCTGCAGTATTTCTAGCCATTCGAGTCCTCATAGGAAGATTTTAATTAATTTTATACTGATGCAATGTGCTCGTCAGTCAGGTGCCCAAGGTCACCAAATATGTCCTCCCTTATAGGCCTTTATGTTGCCACGATCCAGAGAAAAGGAGAGCACCATAAATTCAGCTTCTTAGACTTGTGTTTCCTTTGCTGTTGCTTTTTTTCCCTCAATTTAATTCAGAGGCAGAAAAGTTGCTTCCTCCCCATAATCTTGCAAGTACTGACAGGTAGTTGAGATGTGCTCTGCTCAGGTGTCTGCACAACAGCCATTCAAATGCACAGTGTTAATGTTTTTAATAGTGTGGGGCTAATTTTAAAACTTGCCTCTGGAAAATTGCCTGTGATGAGTGTTTTTTTTTTTTTTTTTTTTGCACTGATGCTCCTGTTGACAGAGCGATTTTTGGAGGTCACAGGCCTTCTGCTTCCTCAGTTCAGGGAGTTACACTGAACAATTGCAAAGGAAGATTTTAATTACAGTCCACGCAGGTGCAGGATAGATGAACATCCATTGGGCGCAGTGAAAGACTTTGGAGATGCCGTATTGTTTGTCATGGAATCAAGCCTTCCACCTGATGTTGCAACAAGCTGCATTTCACCTGCAGTATCTGCAGTGCACGAGGTGCCATTGCTGTCAGGATGCAGTGCGTCCGCTGGGTTCTTTTTCTGTTGTTTGTGGCTTTTTTTTGAACAGCCAAATGAAGGGAATTAGAAAAGCATACGATGAGGTCTATGATGTGAGATTCAGACAGGACAGTACTAAGCTTCAATTAGTGCATCGTTTAATGTGAGCTTGTCCTTGGTTTTAAAAAGTAAATTTGTGTTGTGCATTGAGTTGTATGTTTTATTTCACTTCCTGCAGCGGAATTAAAAAACTTTCAATGGAAAATTATCAAGTTATCACTGTGGATTTCCGTGTGGTCTAGGCAGCCTGCCTGGTTGAAGAAGCCAGTGAATGTTTATCGTTTGAATTTACTCAGAATGACTAAAGAAAGACATACTTGAAGCAGCAACAGCTTTGAATAATATCCTTTAGCTCGGATTATTGACTTAATTTCCTTTGCTTCAACTAAACATATGAATGAAGTAAAACAAAGCAACTAGCTCAGTGTAAATTGTGCGTGCTTATAATTGTAGTTGTGCGTGCCTCTGGATGGAAGGAAAACAGCCCAGCTGATAGCTGTATAATGAGCTTTGCTGATCCTGCAGCATCTGCAAGCTGTATAGAACTCAACAGGAATGAGCCAATGTTCTACAGAAGGGACAGGTTTGGTAGGAATGCAAGCAGTCGAGTGCCTGTCGGACTGAAAGGTGATGGAGATCACAGCCTCCCACTGACAGAAACACATCTGGGCTTGTTTAGAAATCCCTGCTGGCTTTTCATGTGAAATAAAGTTCTTTTCATTCTCCCATCCTTCAGCAAATTGTTTCCCTACTCAGAATGGACACTGCAGAACAGGAAATGTGTTTGTAATCAACAACATTTGTACAAATTCTGGGTTATTTTCAGTGCCTGATGTTGCCTTCTGTTTGTGGTGCTGTATTTCTGTACCTGCTTGGCATTGTTTGCACTGTATGCACCTACGTACCTGTTTAGCTGAAACTAAATCCAGGTGTTACCTAATTTTTCTACATTCTTCTACAAAGTTTGGTGGAGAGTCACTTTGAAAGCTTTATTTACTAATTATTTTTTGTTTTCCTATTCTATTACTAGGACAGATTTTGTGACTTAAATATATATATATTCAATGTTATCTTCCCTACTCACACATACCTAGGAGACAGGCACAGACTGACTATACCTTGTTTTTTCTGAATGTAGTCCATTTTTCAAAACAAATTAAATATGCTTTTGCAGTTAGATTCAAATATTTTTTTACTTTTTTTGTCTTTTGTCTGACATGACATTAGTGAAAAATATCCTGAAAAACGTTGGTTTAATTATTATAATCATTTGTGATTATATAATGTGCAACTGGATAAAATAATTGAACATTTAGTTGTCTAATATTAAAGTCGTTGAACAAATTTTTTCCCCCCTCTTTCCATGAACTCAGGCATAGCAAAACTAAACTTCAGTGCATTGTATGTGTAAAACTGTAGGTGAATAAATAAAAAATAATAAATGTTTGCATTTTTCTTTTAAGGTTAAAGGTCATTCTGGGTAAGAGTTCATCATTTTCAAGCATTAAAGAATAAAAATGTGTTTGTTTGTTTGTTCTGTTTTTTTTAAAGGGCATTTTCCATTTTTTGTGGTCATAGTGTTCCTTCTTATTCTGTAACATCCAGCTTAGCGATGGTCTCGATGGTAGCCTAAAACCCAGTTCTGTAGTTCTGTTAGTTTTGCCACTAGAGTTTGAATGCTGCAGTGTTCTGGTAGGGGAACCTTTGCTGTCAAGTTGTCCGCTCAAAAAAGCGTGACATTGAATAGAGCATTTGAATTTGGTTTGAATGATTTAAGTGAAGTTATTGTTCGTCCTTGTGTACGCATGAGTTGTTGAAATTTATCTGCTGTGCTGGATCATGTATGTTGGAGTATTTTAGCACGAGAGCCTATGTTGTATATTGTAAGAGACAAAAGTGACCTCATTCTGAGCATTTTCATTCCTTTCTTATGGATGGATTTTGTATTATTGCTTTGTAGGAATTAAACAAGGTGACATCTAAGAGTTATAATTAATTCTTAAGGTAGTAAACAAAGTTCAGTCAAAGTATAACTCTGTATTGTGCATGAAAACCACATTTCAATTTCAAAAATAGCTGTACAATTAGTTGACAAAGAAAGTTGTTGTTGTCCTTTGAGGGGATAGGATAAGTGTTTTGCTGTAACGTGTACTTGATGACTTGTTGGTACAGTAGACTAGAAGACAAGCCCTTTAGTCAAAGTAACTGATGTGGAGAGCTTCCTTCTCCCTTTATCACAAAGGTTGAAAAATCAGATTTTTCTTTTCCACTATGTTGCCTTTGAGAATGGTTAACATCTCTCATTTATTATTAAACTTACCTTAAATGCAGCATGCAGACTAATGCTTTTGACAGTAAATCTCTTCCTGCTCTTACGAACTTGTGTGGTGCAAGAATCAGTTTCAATATTATGTTGTTTTATCTTTAACCTTGGTTTGTGTTCAATAGCTGGATCTAATTCTGTTACTTCTGTTACTTTTAACAACTGTATAAGAAAGCTGGAGTTGATACTGAGATGGAAAAAGTATGAAACCAAAATGGAAAAGAATACAGGTAGAGTACTTAGGAGATTAAACTTAGGGAGGAAAATCTGTGCTAAAATTGGTTGTTTTAACAGACTAAAGCCATAGTGCAGAAAATATATAATTTTAAAGAGATTTCTCCTATCTGTTCAAAGAAGGAAAGGAAGTTTAAGTTCTTTCAAGGCAACCCCTCTTGTCATGTGTAAATAAAGCAGACCTTCATGCTACAAGTGAAAAAAGCACAAACCTCAAACTCACATCTAAGTAGTGTTTCAAAGCCAAGTCAACACTGATGTGTTTTCTGTGTATCTTGAGGTTCTATTGCTTTTGCTTAGAATTTCATAAACTCTCAAATAAGCTTTTTGTGCTTATGAAACATGTTGTACTGGAAGATCCAGAGGCAGAGGGCCTGTACTTAGCAACAGAACTACATACAGCTCAGACTGCAAAGAATGCCTATGAAGAAAGAATGTGAAGAACTTTTTGAATTGAGGATGTTATCAGCTGCATCTCTTATTGGTGTGTGTACTTTACAGTTGTTTACTTCTTGTTAATGACTGTTGTTCTGCCATACACTCCTCTGTTGGCCTTCTTTCCCACATGCATTTCCTTTTATATATTTTAAAGAAGGCACTGAAAGATCACTTAGAGAAAATTCAGGGGAATGGTTCTCTGTGTATTTTAATCTATTGAGATTGAAGCAAAGTAGCAGATGAAAATAAGAATGCCTTTTTAAAATGTTCTTTCTCATTTTTAGTTCCACTTGCTCGTGGGCACTGATGAAGTTAGATGCAAATGCGTTATTTCTGTGCTTGAAAGAAGCCAAGCAATGGTCACAGTGACTTTCATATTTGTTCCATTTGTATGTCTGGGTACAAGCCAGTAAAATGATGTTAATTTAACAGCATATTCTAATGTGTGTCTGAATGCTGCACTGTGACCCTTTTTATATTCAGTAACAGCGTGCTGTTTATTTCAGGACGATGTGATGATGCCACAGCGGGTTAGACTGCAGTATGAAGCTGCCATTCAACACCCAAACAGTGTGAGTACTTGTGAATTTTTGTGCTTTTCTGTTGCAGAATGCTGGGCGTATCTTTAAAAGGAGGTGAAAATTTTGCAGTAGGGCTGGTGGAGGCAAAGCAACACCCAGTGCATTCCTTAATTTTTAATCCTTGCACTGAATCGTAACTTTGAACTTCTGCTTCTGTTGTTTAGAAAATCAGATGTCATTATGGCAGTGATGTTCTTTTTCAGATAGTTTCCCTAGCGTGTGTCACTTTAAGAAAGGAGAATGGCTTTTTTTGTATGACCCAACTAGGTAATGTGAGATGTTACCAAAATATTGGCTACAGATATGGTTTAACTATTTTAAATGTTTAAGAAACTATGAAGAATGTATGGGTTGTTATCCTTAATAAGCCAGCCTACAGTTAAATTGATGTTTTCCCCTATGACTGACTGCAAAAGAAAATGTTAGGTAGAATGCCTTTTATTCTTGTGAAACGAACACTCAGAAATGATCCGTGAGTTAACTGGGTTATGATCTGTGTGGATTTGATATTAAATCAATTTCTGTGATAAGGACCTTCGGAGAGAATTTGTGTATTTTGCTCTCCTTACCTGAAAATAATAAAAATGAATTTCAGTGCCAATTATTTCGTTTGTTGATGCTACTGATGCAAATTCCCTTATAAACTTGAAGTCTGAGTTTGTGTTCCTGTCAACAACGTTTGGCAAAAATTGGCATAAGTGGAGAAAATTTCATGAGAAAATGTCAGATATGAAAGCAGTGTGCAGGACATTTCTGGTAAAGAAAGGTCACTTGACTTTTGTCAGAAAGGCATTTTCTGCAGCTCTTCTAACAAAACAGGCAATTTTCATGTTCTTACTGCCTGGGAATTAAACATCTTTCTCCTTTTCTCCCAGAGACACTTACACCAAAGTAGAGATTACTGCGGTTGTTTCAGCTAAGAAATGCCTGCCAACAACCTGCTGGTTAGCGGTGGGATGTGTACCTGCTCACTGGAACACTTGTGTTAGGTCTCTTATGAAATCTGATAACCCTTACGATGTAATTTATGAAATTATAGTTTTAGTAGCACCTGAGAAGCAGTTAACCTTGTTCATACTATGAACATAATAAAAAAAATACATGGAAGGTTGTTTTTGTTCTGATATGAATCAGTTAATTTGCTTCTGTAATGAAATGCCAAAAGACTGGAGAGACAAGTTGATCCAGTTGTGGAAACTGGTGTTAAGAGCTATCCTATTTCTTGCTTGTATGACTTCTGTGTGCATCTACTGAGACTTTTTTAATTAGGCTAATTTCAACCAGACAATTTGTGGTCTATTTAGAAAACACTTCAACTGTTTTGTTTATATTGTTATAGGTTAGTACCTAACAACACTGAGTGTGAGCTGTTAAATGGGAATCAAGTACGTAGTAAATGAGTGTATGAACAGTGGAGAGTATGTCTTCGTGATATGTTTTAACACAGACTTGTTCTTTGCATGCTCCCAGCTAAAGTTATGGTCCTGTTTTGGGATGGAATTATTTGTCTATTTCCAAAGCTTACTAAAATGGTAAACTTAAACCTTAATGAAATGGATAAGACATACGTGTTCCTTGTACAGCAGCCTTCCTTATGCATTTCTCTCTCAACCTTTTACTGAATCATAGGATTTCCATGCAGCTTTGTAGGCAATGACCTTCTTTCTTTTTTTCTTTAAAATTCTGTTGTTTTTTATTTTATTTCCTACCTTACGTAATAATTAAATGTAAAGATTTTCCTGTTTTATGTTCTTGAACCCTAAGAAGGCAAAAACAAATACATGTTTGAATTGCATGGTAGATATTTTCTGTGTTACAGGTATAGAAAATGTTTGTAATAGTCATGTGAAGAATACCTTCTGCATTAATACTGTGTTGTCCAGAATTCTAGTTCAAAGACTTGGAAAAAAGAGAACATTTCCAGCTCTTTCTGCTGAGCACATCAGTGTGGTCCAAGGACCCCTGACAGTTCTATTGTAGCTTCAGCTATCATGAGAAAAGATTTGAGAACATTCTATCCACAGATGTTCTGACCACGAGTACAGACTGCCTTACCCTGACTTGAAGTCTGGTCAAGAAACAGTGGCACCCAAAATATTAGATGCCTTTGCAATGATTTCCCAGCCAACTGTTGTTCAAAGAAAGTGGTGTCTCTCAGCTTGCCCCCAGGATCAGGTAGCAGAGTAATGCTGCAGCATCCCCTAGCTTTATCATCCAGTTTCCTGTACTGAGGACTACTTAATCATGCTTCTATAAAGACAGAACAAAAATTCCTCTCTACTCTCTTAAGCTATTGTTACCTTCAGAACTAAAAAAAAAAAAAAAAAAAATCCTCTATGACAGAGATGTCCTGTTGTTGGAAACGTTTACGTTGTAGGATTTTGGATCTAAAAAGCAAATTACTGATACTTTTTATTAAATGCAGCTTTCTAGAACCACTATCATCCTGACCTCTGGTGAATATATGAATATATTATATTATGGCAAAGTTCTGTTGACAGTTTCTATAAACAGAAGACTCTCAGAGGATGGAAGTTTTTGAGACTCAGCATATTTCTACAAGTCTTAACCTCTGTCTCAGTACAAATACCTACCTTTTGCAGTTTGGCAGCTGGCTATTGTTCATATAGCTACCAACTTATGGCACCACCTATGCATTTAGGTTATGCAGCGCGTGCCTTCAAATCACCTATGAAATCTTGCACAAGTGTTTGTTTATCCCTAGAAACAGTACCTATTCCATTTATTGACCTTATTCCATTTACCCAGGATTGCTGTCACAGATCATATATGCTCACTAGTGAGTGAGAAGATTCAAATCGTGTTTTCTTAAGTTCTGAGAAATTCAAGCCGTGATGCCTTATTTTATTTATTTACTTACTGGAGAAAGTCCAACTTTGTGTACATTCTAGTGTTCCCTTAAAGCTTTTCAGTTTGGAGAAGCCCACGCCATGTGCTCTTCCAATATGCTTGCCCAAACCACACACACATGTATACAGATATAAAGGATGCAGTCTGTCACACTTATGACCCACACTTATTCTGCTGTTGAATATAGGCAGAGAAGTATCCTTTAAGAATTCCCAGGGCTTTTTGTTTCAAGGACAGAGGAGATTGTTATCTGAATCTGCTCCCAGGCTGTCTCGTTGCAGAGTGCTGGGATCTCCACCTGCTCTGGGCGTGCTGAGGTGACATGAATGGATGCGATTTCAATAAAATCTCAAGGAGCTCGAATAGCATCGGAAAGCTTTGCTAGGAAATTCCTCATCCATGAGATGCATAGGTACCTGGCAGTGCTTTGCCAGGCTACTGTGCTACTGTGCCACTTGGAGAACTCTTCCAGTGTTCTGATTTTGCTAAGGGTTCTGTATATTGGAAGGAGTAAAGAGATGCTAAGATCAGATATGCTGTTTGCACTCAAAATCCACTGACCTTCTCATCTGCCTTAGAGCCATACTAGATGTTTTTCAAGCAGTGGATTTTCTTCTTAGCATGGTGAGGTGTTGATCTTACTCCTCTCACCACTGTTTTTTTTGAGTATATGTGTACCCCCACAGTACACCTGTGCTCTTCCTATGTCTTCTCAATAGCTGGCATTACAACATAGACAGAGGACATAGTTATTTCCTTCTCTTTTCACTAGCAGTGAATCTGTACCTGTGTTAAAGTGAAAACCTTTCTTGTTTTAAAAAGATTGCTAGCCTCTTTCTCAAACATGTAGGATACTTAGGCACGTGAGAGCAAATTGAGTATACCATTTGTATCTTCTCAACGAGAAGCCCTCACTGCTTTGCATTTCTAAGGCAGGTATTTGGCATATGCTGTAACTTGGATTGAGGTCAATACCTGTAATGCCTGCGGCAATTTTCACTTATAGCATTATCTGAGTCTGTTAAACAACTGACTAAATTCTAAGTATCTTTGGTTAACGTGACCTGAAGGTGGTGGATTGGACCGAGTGAACTGGGACAATTTATGACACACTACTAGCTCACAGACCTGCTCATCTGCCTCTGGGTAAAGAAATGTTGCACAGTCAGTGAAAGAATCAGAGTACTGAGCAAGTGAATGAGGTACCTTGTCCTCTTTTTTAGGCACAACTCCTGGCCACAGCATCACATGTCTTCTTCCCCATCCTCTTTGAATGTCAGAAATTAACTCAACTTAGAAATGAAGTCTTTTTTCTCCTTTTTTAATTTTTTTCCCCACTTTTTTTCCTCTGGTTTGACACATACCTTTCCTGATATTGAAAGTTATATTCTAGCAGATAAGAGTTTTGTAGTTGTTGTATAATCTGCTCGCCTAGGCCTGTTGCACATTTCTATTACATGTTAGAAAGACTTTTTTTCCCTTTCTCCACTTTCTTTATCTAATCCTTATTCAGCCCTGTGCATCTGGTTAGACATCACTATCTTGAATGTTCTCGCAGCAGATAAAAACAATCACTTCATTTTCTTTTGTGCCTAAAAGGATCTGCTTTCATTGATTATATCAGTCCTTTCAGCTTCCACGTTTTTCATTTGAACTGATATCTGAGATCGCAAGACTTTCTCAGGAGCAGAGAAGTGTACAATCAAATGAGAAGATCACGTCTTTTAAGTATAATTGAATAGTTTTAGTGGTAGATAATAATGTGAAAGAGAACTTTTAACATCAGCATTCTGTTTGTTTTTATGGTTGTCATAATAATGAGGTCTGATTCTTTTTCAAAATGCCTAAAGGATTACAATGTTTCAACTATTTTTGCACTAATAAGAGGCAGGGTTTTTATGTTAATCCATGAGGGCACTGGGAATGGCTTAAAAAATACTGAGGGTTGTTTTGTTCTGATCGCAACAAGATTAAAAGGCAATAAATGTGGCTCCTTGAAAGGAGGGTGGTACTTCTAGGTCGTTTGGCATGCTATCCACACACATTCTCCCTTATCAGAGCAGCTCTGTAAGTCAGAGTGTGCTCTGGTTGTTCAGTACACAGAAAGAACACTATATGTG